AAGAAAGAAAGAAAGAAAGAAAGAAAGAAAGAAAGAAAGAAAGAAAGGCCTACTATCTTGTTACATACTCCAAATATTTTCTCAATCTATTTTCTACAGTTGTCTTAAATCTTTTAGTGATCAGTATGTTTTGTTTTGTTGTAATTTTACAACCTTGTAAGCATATAAAAGCAGAAACAATGACTGAAAAATCTAGTAAATAAAGGGAAACAAAGTTGTTTTTGTTCTAGATTCTTTTGGCCATGTGAAAAATAGAAAATGAAAATTTTCATACCAAACAAACAAACAAAAGTAGTGGTATTCACCAAAGACACTGACATTCTATATCTAAATATATTTTGAGGAACACTGGTCCACTGTTTAACATGTAATGAGGGTACTACAATAATATTTTCATTTTGCTTCATTTGTTTTTTGAGTATGGATCTGACCATGTAAACCACGCTGGCCTCAGATTCACAGAGATCCACCTGCTATTGCCTACTGAGTGTTGTGATTAAAGGCGTCCATCACCAATGCCTGACCATATTGTTTTTCTATATTTTTGAACAGTTAAAAGTTTCCAAAATAAAATGTATTAAGTATATGGACGTGTGTGATGTTGTATAGAAATATTTATATTTACTTGACACCAAAAAGAAAACTAGAGAAATCATACTATTAAAATAATTGATTTGGATGTAGACGTACCAGTAAAGTTCAAGCTTCCTCTCTCTGAAAAGCCTTTCCCAGATTCAGTATGATGTATCAGCATATCAATAGGGCTGTAGGATCAATGACAGTGTGACTGTGCACATGGCCAGGCCTACTCTTCCATGACACTGAGCATATGTCATTCCTTATGGGAACACACTTGAGACTGGAGAGACAACTGAGCACTCAAGAATACATGCTGCTCATTTACACGATGTGGGTTTAGTTCCCAGTACCTACATGACAACTTGTATGTTTTGTAGCTCCAGTGCCAGGGAATCTAACACTCTTCTCATGGTACAAATACGTATGTACACACAGACACATAAACAACAACATAAAAAAGCCACACAACAGTAGGGAGAGTCCAGGCATAGTTATGTTCTGGTTCATATTGTAAATGAGTAAAATGATTATTTTGTAAAATGTAAACATAGCAAATAAAAACATGAAGTCACTACCACATCAATACTACTATGTGCACATGAGTAATACATGCTTTCAACAGTCTAACTATTGTTTATAGGTTCATAGGTATATGGAAATCCCTGCTAAACTGTCTCTCCATATAACATTAATAAGGCAATGGAAGAACAGCCTAGAATCTTCTATATGGTAAATCAAACAACAACCACAAATTAAAAAACCCACTTACTTCCATCTTGTACTAAATGCTTTGTAGGATGTTCTGACTGGTAAGGCCAGAGGCTTCCCTTCAGCAAAAACTTGGCAAGTCACATAGAGGTCAGAGCACGTCTCTTGGTATAACCCGGAAAATTTTAGCATCGGATCTTCTAGTACAGCTTTGTAGCTCTTTTGTTCTCTCTTCCCTTCCAAGCTTCCTCTGAAATCACAAACACAACGTTTCAGATGTATACTTTTAAAGCACCCATGGATATTTAAAGAGTAAAAAAGTTTATGCCTGTTAAAGTAACCATAAACTAGTTAATACCTTCCTATTTTTAAAAGTAACATCACATCCTAAGCTTATTCTATCTTTATAAAAGGTGTCTCTTGTAAAAGTATCTTTTATTTGCTGGATGTAATTGTCCTCTCAGGGGCTTACTGCCTCTGTCTGCTAACCTAGGCCTAGTCCAGGAAGCTTCTAGCCTCTGTACAATCTAATCTAGGTCTAGAATGTTTTCAAGCCGTTGTGACTTATTGTTAGCTCTTTCTGAACTCTGGCTGGCTGGTTCAACTCAGTTGTGGCTCAAACTCCTCTCCAAGTTGACTAATTTGATCTGGCTTCTCTAGTCTCACTGAATTGTTCTACTTGGTCTCATTCTAATTTTGGCAATATGTTCTAATCTTCTGGCTCCTTCTCATTGTCTGGCTCATTCTGTCTTCACTTGTGTCTAACTTTTTCTCTCTACCATTTGCCATTGTAATTCTGTCCCTGTAAAACTGCCACCTCCTCTCTCTCTCCCTCTCTCTCTCTCTCTCTTTATCTCTCTGTGTGTGTGTGTGTGTGTGTGTGGTGCTCTCTTCAGCTGCCTCTCTTTCCTCTCTGTTCTCATGAGAGTTGAGCATACTCTGATTCCTCAATTTATCTGCCTCTCAATTAGACATCACTTTCAAACATGGCTGCTTATTCTACAAACTAACCTCATCTACACCGTTTACAAGGGTTAAAGGAGTGTACTAAGGAAATGTCTGTATTCCAGCCACAGAAATTAAAGGCATATCATCCCAGCCTTTGCCAAAGCAGCCATGTTGCTCGATTAAAATTCCTCTACAGTCTCTTCTTTAAGCTTCTTTATTTTAAATGCTGTCACCTACTCTTAACTTTACTGATTCTAGCACTTGGGAGGCAGAGGTAGGTGGATCTCTGAGGCCCCAACCCTGGTCTACACAGAGAAACCCTGTCTCAAAAACAAACAAACAAACAAACAAAAGCAAACAAGCAAACAAACTAATTTCAAATTGAAAACTTATTTGTCCAGTCTTTAAGCAAACATTTAATATATGGGTAGAAAGACAAGAAACATAAGAAAAGTTACACAATACAGTGATGCAAGAAACTGTTAAGTCACATGTGTTAAAGCACACCTTTAATTCTAGCACTAAGGAGGCAGAGACATCCAGATCTACATGCCCTGTTCTAGGACAGCCAGAGACACATAGTGAGCCTCTATCTAAAAAACAAACAAACAACAACAAAAACCTGTGTCCCTGCTTTAAAGGAGAAAAACTTACTTCCAACTATTATTTTTATTCTTTTTTCCGTATATATCCTCATATATATATATATATATATATATATATATATATATATGTATATACACACGCACACATACTATCACACCATTTCATAAGACAAAACAAAACAGACAAAACAGTGTTGTAAGCCATGCTGGATATGTATGGGCATTATTAAGGAAGCAGGAGCATTTCTTGAATATAAAAATTATATCAGTTATCATACTAGGAATACGACCTATGCTTTTTAAAACCACATTCTCATTTTATGATGAAGAAGCACAAACTCAGAGATCACACTCCTTATCAAAGATGGGAAAGCTAAGAGCTGAGAATAACAACCAGAGCAAGGAGTCCAAAGTCAATTGTCTTCCCACCGTGAGAGAATTCACCATGGCCTGGCTCTTAGACAGATGCCTGAAATAAGCCTAATTAATGACTCTTGGGAAAGAAGAGGGAAAGAACAAATACACAATTTGTTCGCTCCAGGTAGGTGTCTGAAGTCCTCACAGCAAGAAGGCTCTCTCACCAGGCACAGTCCTCAATTTCTCTCCCTATACTAAAGAAATGACACAGGTCAAAGTTCTGACAATATGGAAACTACACAGCAAAACTGCTCTTGCCTGGAAAGGTGTGTTTCCCACTTATGCAAAGTTCCTACAGTTCCGAAGTTATCATCTCTGGGAAGTCTTCTTTCCTACTACAGGTCACATTTCAAGATGTCATGCTCTTGACCTTCATGCTCTTGACCGCTGCCCCATGGTTTTACTAAAAGCCTCTTTTCTCCCATCTTCTTGAACCCTCTGTAACTGACACGGTCACCCATTCCCCCTCAACATCTCTGCCTTTAAAATGTCAGGCTGTCCAAAGGTTAGCTATATGTCTCTATCGTCTTGTGCGCAATTAAACTGCATCCGCGTGCTCGGTTATCCCACCTTCAGACTTCCGAACGCCCCATTCCCCCTTCCAGCCTTGCACTAGAGCAACGATCATCCTCTTTCTTGGGCGGGAAAACTTGCTTCCTAAGACTTGATTTCTTTCTGCGGAGATTACATCGCAGTATTCTTCCCGCAAAAACGGAAAGTGCAAACTGCTCCGTACCCCTCCGGGGGCTTCAGCGCAGGTTACTCCAGCGATTCCCTTCAAGGAGCAACCCCTCTCCGGAGCAACAGCGCCCGCCCCTCACCGCCCTCACTCCCCCTTCGCTCTCACATCTTCAGCTGCACGTTGATGTCCAGGTCACAGCTGTAAATGTAGTGGAACTTCTCCGCTTCCCCCATGGCCGGCTCGGAAAACAGATGCAGCCGAGGCAGCCAGCCTCGGGAAGGACTCCAGGAAACAACGCCGGTGCCTCACTACACGAAAACTTCCTGTTCCGCCCCTCCGCCCATAACCTAGCTCGCCCAGTCCGTGACGCAATCAAATGCGACGGAACAAACCCTCGGCGAGCCGCACCACGCATGTGCAAACGGAGGTCGCCATCTTGCTTAAGGGCAAATGAGGAGTCGGGAAGCGTGGCTTCTGTGGTTACATTCCAGTTTTCCTGCTTTGACAAAACTTTTTTTTTGTTTTTCTTTGATTGAGACCTGGGAAATACGGCTGAGAATTAATGTAATAACATTCAGTTAGTGAAGGCCAAATAAAGAAGAAGCACAAAACTAGTTCCCCTAGTGTATAGCGTACTTTCCATTAAAAAAGAGATTCGGTTATAGCCGAGCTGCCAAGCCTGTGATTCCAGCACCCCCTGCAGAGGCAGGCGAGTTCAAGGCCAGCCTGGTCTAGAAAGTGAGTTCCAGGACAGCCAAGGCTCTATAGAGAAACCCCATCTCGAAAACACAAACAAACAAACAAAAAAACCCCAAAAAGATTGGTTTGTTAATTGGTTGTTTCCAGCAGAAGTTGTTTTGCTTTGTTTTTCTTCTGATATGTTTGGTTTGGTTTGGGTTTTAGTGTGTGAAGAGGACAAAAAGGACTAGACAAACACTGAACAAGATCCGGGTTTCATTTAGGCACAATCAACATCTCTGCTTCAGTGCTTTGTATTGGGTGTGTTTTGATCTAATGTGCGGTTCAGGACAAAACTCTACAGGAAATGCCTAGAAACTGCCGATAATACCGTGAACTCGGTTTTTAAACCTTCTGAGTTACTGTAATTTATTCTCCTGACATTTAACACTCTTAACATTTAGGTCTCAGTTTATAATTATGTTTAAAAATTCTATGAGCAGGGCATGGTGGCACATGCCTTTAACCCCAGCACTTGGGGAGACAGAGGCAGGCAGATAGCAAGGCCAGGACAGCCAAAGCTACACAGAGAAACCCTGTCTCAAAAAATAAAAATAAAAAGTAGAAAGCAAGTATGGTTGGCCATATACTTCTGTGTTGTGTCCCCTTGGAGTCTACCAAACTACTGACTTAATTCCTACTTATTATTAGAGGTTATAGCAGAAGTCTGCCTTTTCTGGATGTTTCTCAAGTTTACACACACACTTACTGTGTCAGAAAGAGTGCCAGTGCAGGCACACCAAGTAGAGAAGAGAAGAATACTTCCAGAAGCTGGTTTTCTCTTTCCACATGAGGCTGCTGGGGATCAGAACTAAGGCATGGTAGAAAATGCCTTTACATACTGAATGATCCTGCTGGCCCTGGATGTATTTCTTTTAAGTACCAATTTTAAAACAATAACACCCAAATAATCACAGATTCAATTTATTTAGATTTTTTAGTCATAAGATTAAAAAAGAAAGACAGAAACTTTGAGTGGGATGGGGCTATTTACACTAAAAAGGGAAAAATGGTAAAGACGATATTGTTCCCAAAGTAAATTCTACAAACTACTCTTTGATACAATAAAGTCCACATGTATATTAATAAGTATCATGATGGTTAACCTCATATAATTGAAGATTTAAACCAATAGAACAAATTTGGGTTGTGTCTACATATAACTACCACCAGATACTTATGACGTACAGAAAACACATATTCAGCAATGAAATGGGAAATTTATAAACAGCAGCACTGTGCAGCAGTAAGACAAATTGCCACAATTACTCTGTTTTTGGCAGAAATTATGAAGCTGATTTTAAATCAAGTTTCTTAAACATTTCTTATATTCTTTTATTAGTGAAAAGGTGTCCGTGTGAGTGTTTGTCATGTGATTGCAGGTACCTGTGGAAGGCAGAAGACGTTGTTATATCCCCTGAAGCAGGAGTTAAAGAATGTTGTGAACTGGCCTATGTGGCTCTGGAAGAGCAACAGATTCTTTTTATTTACTGCTCTCTCTCGCGCTACAAAATCCTGACATGTGAAAATAATTAAATTGTCTGGCTCTAGATCTTAAATTGCTTTTGGAATACTGCAATTTAACTTATAAATTTAAGCATTTATGTAACAACAAATAAATGTATGGATTCAATAAAAAAACTTTAAATTGGGAATTTAGTAAATTAAAGGGTTTTTGTTGTTGGAATTCTGTGGATTGCAGTATGTACAGCATTCAGTATTGACTGTTCTTACTGAACTGGCTCTTTGAAATTTAGCAAGTCTAAATAGTATTAAACAGGGCAACTTCCACTTTTCTAGCCTCTCTTTACTACCTAGATTAGTATGGCATTTTGACAGTAAAATTATCATGGTATTATTTGGCTCCAACATATCTTTTGATTTTTATTCAATCTCTATCTCTCTCCAACTATTTTACAACAATTAAAATAATCATGAACACAACACAATATTAAATGTATTAATAATTCAAGAAAAGCAAAGGCACGGTTAAGGATTGTCTTGGTAATCCACGTATGCATGGTAAGAGTCCCATAAACGCGAGCTAATAGTGTCTTTTCTATTATTTGGTGAATTTTTGATATCTAATTGGTAAGAAACATCCATAGGGAATATGAGAGCCTCAGGCATCTTCACTCTGAAAAGGATGAATTTTTTTTGTTTCCACTCATGAATATAACACACACTAATGATTATGCAATGCAATTTGTACTGCAAGAAACCACAATTGGTTGTCTGTAGAAAATAGCTTACAGATGTGAATGCTATTTTTGTTTAATAGCCTATCCCATTGACTATGTGGTCTGGTATTTAATTTTCCTTTGAAGGTGCAGTTTTCATTTTGTTTTTGTTTTCCATTTCATTTCAATTTCATGTTTAATTATTCTAACAGCAGTTTTTAATAATGGTTTAGAAATTTGTTCATTGTGATCTCTTCCTCCAATTGCTCATGACTCACAGTGATAATCAGTTTAGCTTTTCCCCATTTCTAAGATCCAATTTATTCTATCTTATAATTTAAAAATGCAATTAGAGCTTTCAAAGCAACTATCTATTATCATGAACAAATTATGATACTGTAAGATTAAGAGTGCCTTACAAATCCTTTTTCTCTAATTAAAATTTTTCTTATAAGTTTTCTAATACCCTGAAGTATTTTAAAATTCAATAATGTGATAGAACATACAATTGTGTTAAGAAACGTTAAAAGTCTTACCCTAATTCATGATGTTGACAATTCTTCAAGTGACAATGTGAGAAAGCATGGACTTAATAAATATCTAATAGTCATTTTTAGCGAAGGAGCCCCCAGGGCCCAGGCCCAGGGGATTCTATTCAAGAATACAATTTACATTAGCAATAAAAAAGAAAGGATAAAAAATGAGTTATTCTGAAATTATTGAATCAGACTTAAATGCAAATGTCTTTGCAATCATTTGATATCACAAAAAAGAAATTGCCTTCTCCATGGCACAAGTGAGGAAAGAAAAATGGATTTACATAATACCCTTGTCAAGAATCTCAGCTAGAAAGAAGGAATGGAATGAGGCTTATTTCCCTACAAAGTGTAATCAGACAACCTTGGTTAGAGAAGTGGGAAGATGCCTTATCGAGTGAAGGACTTGCCATGAATCTTGCCATGTAAGGAAAGGACTTGAGTTTGAGCCCCAGACCCAATGTAAAATGATGGATATAGTGGTGTAATTCCAGTAGCTAGAGTAGCTACTGTAATTTTGTAATAAAATACTGTAATATCACTTGTAATTCCAGTGATGAGGAGGCAGAGGCAGAGGCAGAGGCAGAAGGCTCCCGGGAGCTTGCTGATTAACCATCTTGCTTATTGGTAAGCTCCAAACTAATAAGAGAGCATGGTTCAGATGAAATCAAGCACATTCAGTGAGGTATGGCCATATCTGTCTTTAAAACTGAAATCAATGGTGTTTCTGAGGACTGTGCATAAAGTTGGTGTCTGGTCTCCAAAGGCATGACTTTTACACACACACATACACACAGAGGGGGCAGTGATAGAACTCTTGATTCCTTCTCTATAATATAGGAGTGATTTCCAGTACTCAGACCTTAGGAAGTAAGACTGAAATTAATCATGGAAAAGATTTTGTTACCTTCACTGTTAGGGTAACGTTTTAATTTTTTTTGTTGAACACAAATTTTGCTCTACTAGATTTATTTATTTGTGTGTGTGTGTGTGTGTGTGTGTGTGTATGTGTGTGTGTGTGTGTGTGTGTACATGTGGGAATATGTGTTTGTACATGTGCTTGCCTGAACAAGTGCATGGAGATGCTAGAGATCAATGCTGGATGTCTTCTCTTATTGCTTTCTGGCTTGTTTTTTCAAATAGGGTCTCTCACTGAACTTGGAGCTGTTGCAGGATTTGATCACAGTGTGAACCCCACAGATAGTGTACCCATTTCTAGGTGTGGTCCCTAGCATGCACCTTTAATCCAAGAGCTTTCTGTAAACAAGATTAAATTAAGTGAACCATGGGTCAAGAGGCGGAGCAAGCAACCAACTGGTAGTGAAACAGGAAAAACCACCACTACAACAGAGACTTAGAGGAAGTCTGGAGGACAGACAGAGAGACATACAGGAAGTAGAAAGGAGTAACATTCAGTTTGAAGGGTTTTTAAAGACAGTATGGACAGGGAGATGGGGCCTTCCCCTTTTGGCACGCCAGCTGAGGAGGAAGGTCAGCTGGGTGTTTTTTCTGCCTCTCTGAGCTTTCTGCACGCTTTCACCTTATCATCTGGCTCCTACGTTTTTATTGGTAAAATTGAATGTTTGGGATTTTGTTTAAAAACAACATGGGACTCACTGTTTTTGGTGGCCAGCTTCATCTCCCTTTACCCTTCCAGTAACAGGGTTACAGATACATGATTCTGTGCCCAATTTTACCTGAGTCCTGGGCATTTGATCCTGGACTTAGACCCTGATGCTCGCACAGCACCGTACACAACAAAGCATCTCTCCAGCCTCCAATTCTGCATTTTAGAGCTATGAAACTTTCACTTACTTTCTTGGCTTACTTAGTTAACTGGAAAGTAAAGAACATTTCACTGATTACTAAACC